AAAGAAGAGCCAAGCCAGAAATCAAAAACTTCCTTTTGAGAGGAGGCCTGGGGTGAAGGTCTAAGGTGGTTGTTGACAGGGCCCAGATGCTAAGAAGGCAGCAGAAGGGCAAGCACCTAAGCAAATAATTTCATATTCCTTAAATGTCAGGGGCAGGCAAGAGGGGTAAATTCAGGGCAAACCCAGGGCCTTTTTCATGCTAGGAACAGGCTTTACCACTGACCTACACACCTAGCCCCAAATTCTGGGCTTCTCATGATGGCTGGAGCATCTCCTGAAAAGATGTCTCAAACAGATAACTTGATTAGGTTGAAAGATGGATTGGGACGAAAGAGGACTTTTTTGTTGCTGATGGAACTGCTTTTTCCTTGTGAACAAGTTTAGTGTTGAAAGGGAAGCTTGTAACTCAAGTCCTATATGCAGAAGGTCCTCTGATATGGAGACCTCCATTCTTTTCAGGGCTTACTTGTTCTGATGGCCCTGGGAAGGATAAGCTGAGACCCTGAAGAGATGTGGGCTGTCCTTAACAGTGCATTTCTTGTCCTCATTATTCTGATACCTGTTCCAGCTGGTATGTCCCAGTTGACTATGGCTGGGGGCCAGGCACCTGGGGAGTTATCTCATTGTCCTTAGGATGCTGGTCTTCGAAGCTTGAGAGAGCTGATGTCATCTCTCTTGTTTTGCAGATGAGAAAACAGACTTCTTGGGGGTTAAGTGGCTCACATCAAGGTCATGTTGGTGGCATCAGAACTCAAGTCCAGGTTTCTGCCAATTTTGCAGCCAGACAGCCCTCTCCTGCTGGGAGCATTCACCTTCAGTTTGCTGTCCTTTTTAATTCATCTTGCAAACTGAAAATAGGACTAATTTTTCTAAAATACCCATTTATCTTGTCAGAATATATCCTTCACTGTTACAGAATATATCCATTGACATGCCTGACCCTTCTTACAATCTATCTTTATATTTTTCTTCCTCTTAGCTTTAGTGGAACTGGGAGGGTGGAGGTGAGCATGGTTCTCCCTCCTTCATTTGCCTAATATCTCTATCTCTTATCCTGCCTGACTGACCTCATTCCAAATCCCATTCATCCTCTGACCTCTGTAACCTCATTCATCATTCCTACCACCCATTTTTTTTGTCTTGTGAGCCATCTGCTTGGGATCTGTGGTACAGTTATCTTATATACACTTGTTTTTCAGTGGATTTTCCAGTCTCCCCAAGACTAGTGGAATCTGGCAGCTCCCTGAGGGCAGGGCCAAGTGTCTGTTCCTGGATCTGATGCTACAGCCCATCTAATGGAGGGCTCTGGGTGGAGACTTTGTGTCCCCTTGTGGGTAGGTGCCTCTGCTTAGGAGGAGCTTGAAATGGCGGAGGCTACACCTGGAGGTTCCTGGCGACAATAATGTCGTCTTAAGCTACACATGGCTTGGCTGGGAACGGAGGCATTGCTCTACTTTACAGCTCAACATTACAAATAGGAAAATGAGCCACCCGGGGGCTCCCGGGACTTGGCCAGTTAGAGGCTCACAATGTCCAAATCTATTAACCACTCTTTGTAAGCACCCTCTCTGTCCACCTGTAGCGTGAAGGGGAGACGCCCCAGCAGTTCTCGTCTTGGAGCGCGCAGTTTCCTTTCGGCTGCCTTCTGTCCCTCCATCTGTATTCGGAGTTTCCCTGAACTGCCTGGGACTCGCTTATCTGTGAGCTTTTTCTTTCTTTTTCCGGTCGTGCTTCTGCGAAACTCACTTTCTACCAACTTTCTCCCGGCTCTTCCAGACCGTCCGAAAGCTCCGCTCCCGTCCCTGGACTCCACCAGGTTCCGCGAGAGCGCACACCGCCCCTCCCTGCGGCCCTCCTTCCCCGCTCCCGCGGCTCCCCGCCGGGCCGGCTCCGCTAATCTCCTCCCGGGAGGGGGCCGCGGGGGCAGGGCGGGCCGGCCGGAGGAGGGGCGCGCTCGGCCGGCCGGGGCGGGGCCCTGGGAACGGGCGCGGGCCGGCCTCGCCCCCAGGCCCCCGCGCCCCTCGGACCCCGGAGAGGGGCTGGCCCACTGCCAGCGTCGGAGGCCGGCCCCCTCCCCCGGCCCGCCAACAGCCAACCAGGCACTCCAGCGGGGCCCACGTGACCTGGAGTTCTAGACAAAGAAAATGTTCCCTCCCTCCCCCCCACCGCCCCCTCCCCCTCACTCTGGCCCCCTCCGCCCCCAGCCCCATCGCCCCCTTCCCCTCCCCCCAGACGGGCAGCTACTTACAGAGCTTCAGGGCCGGGGCTCACACCTGAGCCGGACCGCAGAGGGGCTGCACCTGGCCTTATGGGTAGGTTCCTGGACGGAGCCCTGGGGAGACTGGGGGCGGGGAGGCGGCAGGCCGGTGGGAGGATCCCCGCAGCCCTCTGTGTTTGAAAAGAGTCAAGTATGCCTCCCCGGCCCGCAGCTGCCGCGGCGTCCCGGGCCGGCTAGAGTTCTGGAGATGCTGACTTAGTGCCGTCCCGCCCACTCCTGTTCAGGAGCCCCAAGGCCCGGGCTCTAGTGGCACCTGGCGCCCTCAGGGGACAGGAAGATCACCCCGGGCAGTGGTAACTGCAGGCTGGGGGAGCAGGCGGACTGGCCGAGGGCAGCTGTGACCAGGAGTTGGGTTGGAAGCAGCCTGGGCTGAGCTGCTGGCAGATGGTGCCTGGCGATTTCCCGTTGACCTCTGTGCCGGGTTGGGGGATCACATTGCCCTCAGGGACCTTCCAGCTGTGGCCTCTTGAGGGATAGTTTTCCCCCCATGAAGTTCCTGGGAGCCACAGGGCAGGCTGCCAGAAGAAGGGGCAGGGATCAATACAACCCTGACGGGCTGTGGGGGCAGCCTGATGCCCTGTGACACAGGGATAGCCCGAGACCTCGTGGACTTGGGAGTACAGGCGCTAAGACCTCTGACCTTTGGACTGGGAATTGCAGGAGGAGTTGGAGGCAGACAGCTGCCCTAGGAAATGGACCTGGGCCTGGAGGCGGTAGTCAGTGGAATTACCAGTGGCTTTCCCCAGGCTGGACAGACTCCTGGCCAAGTGATTTCCTTGAGTCAGGGGTAGTGGGGGATGGCGTAGTGTCCCTCTTTGGACCCTGCCCAGACTCTCGGCCTCCTCTCTGTGAGAGGAGCCTTCAGTCCAAAGTCGAGAGCCCCAAGTTAACCCTTCCCTCTCCTATTGTTCCCCTGGGGAGAAGGCCTGGGGTAGTGAAGGAGGACTGGAGGTTGGTTCTCTTGCCCTGGGCTGACTATTCTCGTGAGGCCCCTCCCCCACCGGCTGCTCCAGCCCTCCTTCCCCTTTCCTCTGGCCTCCTGCTGGTAACCCCCCTCCTCTGCAGCCTGGTCCTGGTGGAGGCCCCCTTCCTCCTCTGCCAGCCTCTACCGTACTGGGCGCCTGTTCTCCTGCACCGAGTGGGTTGGGGATGCGGAGCAGCTATCAGCGGCAGCATCTGACAAGCTGGGGGAAGTTGTGGGGGAAGAAGAATTTTCAGGAACTGCTGTAGAGGGGGTGAGGACGGAGACAAAGGGGCTGTGGGGGAGTACTGAGGGTGGTGGCAGGCACGACTCCCTTCTAGACCTGGGAACCTGGTGGGGAGCTGGCATCCACTGGCTGCTGCCTACTGTGGATGTTAGAGGGGGTCCCTTCCCCTCCTGCCACCTGCTTGCCTTATGCTGGCTGACGGGCCTATCAGTCCTACAAACTGGGTCTTTGGGACTTCCCAGGCAAACTCCCAATCTAGGTCAGTCGTCCCTGCCTGAAGGTCAAGAAAACACAGTAGAGGGAGCAGACACCAGGGTGGGAGGTGGGGGGGAGGACAGGATGTGGGGAGGACAGGATGGTTATTTGGAGTAACTAGCTGGTGATTCCAGGAAAAGAAGTGGCTTTCCTAGAGATCTAGCCTGGGTACCTCTTCTTGGGGGAGGAGGTGATAGCTCATTGATTTGGAAGGAAGGGGAAGGAAGTTCCAGGTGAGGTTGGGGCCGGTGGGTTGAGCAATTACTCTGCATTCCTCCACCCCGGCCAGGCTACCTTGAGCTCATTTTCCCAGCTGTTTGTGGGCTGGGGGCAGAGGATACCTTATCTCATTTTAGAATTTGTTGAGTGAGAGAGAGCTATGACTAACATCATCCGTGTTTTAGGAGTCGCCACAAGAAAAAGATTTGACTTGTTGCCGTGAGGCAAAAACTTGAAGATTGAACGAAATAAAGTGAACTTACCAGTCAATGCACTAGATCTTTGACCTTAAAACAGAGGTTCTTAATCTGGGACCCTTGGATGTGGGGTTCATTGACAGGCTTTGGAAGAGTCCTTGGAATCCTTGATATGTGTGTACATCAAGATTCTTAAACAGGTGGCCAGAAACCCTGCAGTTCAAATGCCCTTTCAGGTTGGGGCAACTCTGTAAAGAAGAGACTCTGGCCGTTCAGCTACTAATGAGCTGCCAGGCTAAGGCAGGAATGGACTGTTCCGACTTCTGGTTTAGTTCTCTTATTCTCCAGCTTGCTTTCTGATTACTTGAAAACTTGAGGGTGGGTTTGCACTAGCAACTTCAGGCTCTTAGGGGAAAGCTGTGTTGAAAATAGAATTTCGACCGAGCAGCGCACGCCTCTAATCAACTGCTCTGGAGGCTGAGGCAGGGGATTGAGAGTTCAAAGCCAGCCTCAGCAAAAGCCAGGTGCTAAGCAACTCGAGAGACCCTATCTCTAAGTAAAAGATAAAATAGAGCTTGGATATGGCTCAGTGGTTGAGTGCCCGGTACTCTCTCCTAAAAGGAACTCAGTAGTAGAACATGTGCTTGGCATGTGCAAGGACCTACACACACGCACACACACACACAGAAATGGGATTTTTTTTCCCTCTGAATCTAGTGTGCTGGAAAATGGTTGCAGAGTCTTGAAGTTTGAGTTCCGGGTGTGCTAGATTCAGTAGTGGGGGTGAGATTAAGTTGAATGGTTCTCAGAACTAAGTATCAAGGATTTCATTCTCCTTTATAGGGCTCCTGGAGCAGGTTTTGAGAAGGAATGGGCGTGTGGATCGTAGCCTCAAAGACGAGTGTGATACGGTGAAAGATTGGAGACTGTTCAATGGGAAAATAACTGGGGTTTGGATTATTAATTTGTTGGTGGGATGGCAGAGAATGCCTGATCTGTGTGCTCAGCAAATAATTGAATGAATAAATGTATTTACGGTTATGAAAGGTGCACATAGAAGGTAACAGCATACAGTACGTTAGCTGTGAAGTCTGAGCATGGGAGCAGGCAGGCTCTTGAGCATTCTATAGACTTGGAGCAGATTTTGGGGGGAGATGTGCTCTATAAATAATCTGTAGGCATCACAGAACTATAACTGTGATTAGGAAACTAGGAAAAGAAGGGATGGTGGCCAAGGGAAATTGTGGAGAAAAAGATGAGAGATCCCCTTCTTGATTGGAAAGGAAGAAAGGAGAGACTGGAGCCAATATCTGTGCCTGAACAATGGTGCATAATTAATATTTGAATAGAATCATCCTTTCCAGATCAGAGGGTGGGCAACTAATGAGCTGGCCAGGGCAAGGATTAGGCCATGGAGGGAGGTTTCCTGAGAGGCAGAAAAAAAGGCTGGAATGGAATCTAGTTATTTGAGTTCACCTCCCAACTTCAGCTGTTTCCATTTCCATGGTGAGCCAGTTGGGTTGATAAGGGAAGAGCTGTTCTCTCTGGCCCCTTACCTCCCGTCACTGTCTCCAGACCACAGACGGGAAGAGCCCCTCCATCTCACATTGCTTTGCTGATTCCTGGAGGGGTCAAGGTGACTTGCTCTTTGTTTCCTCAGGCTGAGAAGAAAGCCAAGGTCATTGCAGTAATGAATGCTGTGGAAGAGAACCAGGGCTCCGGGGAGGCTCAGAAGGTGGAGGAGGCCAGCCCTCCTGCTGTGCAGCAGCCCACTGACCCAGCATCTCCCACTGTGGCCACCACACCCGAGCCCGTGGGGGCTGACGCTGGGGACAAGAATGCCACCAAATCAGCCGATGATGAGCCAGAGTATGAGGTGAGCGGCTTGCTACTTCACCAGCCTAGTCCAGCTCTTTCCTGGGGCCTTCTCCTGCCAGCTCCTCCCATCCTGCTCTCCATCTCCCTCTGGCCGCTCACTCTCTACCTGACCCCGGGCCTCGTCTTCATCGTTGCCCCGATTTTGCTGTCTCCCTCCTTTCATGTGGAGCTTTCTCCTGGCTGTCTTGCCCCCAGATGGCCAGAGCTAGGGTTGCCATGGGGGGATCAGGGTGGCAGGGCATCATGACCGCCGTGTAATTATTTCTGCTCCTTGGGGCTCCAGGACGGCCGGGGCTTTGGCATTGGGGAGCTGGTGTGGGGGAAACTGCGGGGCTTCTCCTGGTGGCCAGGCCGCATTGTGTCTTGGTGGATGACGGGCCGGAGCCGTGCAGCTGAAGGCACCCGCTGGGTCATGTGGTTCGGAGACGGCAAGTTCTCAGTGGTGAGTGTGGGGTTGGCTGGAGTGTGTTGGGGGGTCGCAGACCCGGGGCCTGTAGTTGTAGCAGTTTGTCTAGAATTGGGGTGGTGGAAGTAGGCTCTTTTTACCTGCATGTGGTGAATGGAAGAAACCCTGGAGATGACTAAGTGGCACCCCTGGCTCAGATTGTGGGTGCTTCTGCCAGCCTGTTAGCTGCCAGGAGTCCCTTCCTAGGAATTTCTTTCCCGGCCTTCAGGTGGTCTTCCCGCCTTTGCTCATTTGTCATTAATTGTCAATACTTCAGGCCCTATAGGCCCAGACTGACTCTGGTACTCCCAGCCCTGATAATTGCGAGGCATTCAGAGGGAGCTTGGGAGTGGGAGAGGAACAAACGGTCTGCTCGTCCCCAGGTGTGTGTAGAGAAGCTGATGCCGCTGAGCTCGTTCTGCAGCGCCTTCCACCAGGCCACCTACAACAAGCAGCCCATGTATCGCAAAGCCATCTACGAAGTCCTCCAGGTGAGCTGTGCCTCCAGGGGCACAGAGGAGAGAGCTTAGCCAGCGGGGCCACCAGGAGGCCTGGAAGCTGCCGTGAAATTGGGCATTTCTTAAGACCCTTTGGCGGGGACTTCTTTCCTTCTGAGCTTACTTACTCACCTCCCGCTTCTAGGCTCTGCCTCTTCAGATGATCTCCCATCCCCACCCCTGCCCACCTTCGCTGCTCTTGGAGTCCGCCCTTGAGTAGGCCTCACCTGCCATCCAGCCTGTGCTGACCCATGTCCCATATGTTGCCCTCCAGGTGGCCAGTAGCCGTGCCGGGAAGCTGTTCCCAGCCTGCCATGACAGTGACGAGAGTGACACTGCCAAGGCTGTGGAGGTGCAGAACAAGCAGATGATTGAATGGGCCCTCGGGGGGTTCCAGCCCTCTGGCCCAAAGGGCCTAGAGCCACCAGAAGGTAAATGGGTACTCAGCCCAGCCTTTTGGCACCCCTACCAGCCAGATTCCTGCCAGGGCTGGGAGAGCCATTGTTGGGGAGAGCTGTCAAGGTCCCACAGAGGGGCCCAGAGGAGTGGCCATGGCCTCCCTCACCTGGATTCAGGGTTGTGTTGGAAATTGAGAATAACCTGCTCTGCACTGGCTTGCCTGACCCTGAGAATTGGGAGGTAGGAATCAGTTGAGGACCAGGCTACACTCCACATAGGTGGCATGGCAAGGGATTTGGGGTTCCACGTCAGCCTGTAACTGACCTGGTCACCTGCCTTCCTGGTGCAGAGGAGAAAAATCCCTACAAGGAAGTTTACACAGACATGTGGGTTGAACCCGAGGCAGCTGCCTATGCACCACCCCCACCAGCCAAAAAGCCGCGAAAGAGCACAACTGAGAAGCCCAAGGTCAAGGAGATTATTGATGAACGCACAAGAGGTGGGTGGCCTCCCTCAGGAGGGTGGCCTGCCATGGGGTAGTCATAGCCTGGGTGGCCTCTTCTTATGCAGCCTTCTCTCCCCTCTGCAGAGCGGCTGGTGTATGAGGTGCGGCAGAAATGCCGGAACATTGAGGGTGAGTCTGTCTCTTGGGGTCAGGGTACTCCTCGCACAGGCAGGAGACTCTGGCTGATTGTGTAGCATGGGCACACAGTGGCACTGGCACAGGTTTTTGGAAAGGTTGGAATACCATGGGTCCCATGACATCAGCACTCAGTGTGGAGGCCTGTCTGCTTGTCCTGCCACCGCCAGCCTGCTTCACATGCCATCTGTCATCTTAGTGCCATGAATTTGCTTTCCTGTCAATGGCATGGTCTGGCTTTTGGGGTTTGTGATACCCTAGTGAGTCAGAAGTGTGGCCTTGGTGGATTTGATTGAATGTGGTCTAAGGATGACCTCTTGGCCTTTAATCCTTCCCTGCCTGTCATCCCAATCCATCTCCTTGCCATAATGATAGTGACCTTGATGGTAGCCCTGGAAGGACTGGGGACAGGGACCAGGCTGCCCCTGGAATAATTCCAGAACAATAAAGCCAGGAAAGGAACCTCTTCTCACGAGTGGGTTTTCCTCCACATTACCCTGTTGCTGGGTGGTGGCATTGCTGCTCTATAGGGTGGGGGCCTCTGGCTTCTTTCTGCCTGCCTTTTTGGCTACTGCCCTGGTACCCCTTTTTGTGGAATGTCTCTTGAGCTGGGCCTTGCTCTGGTGAGGGGCTTTGGAGTTGCTCACAAAACATATGCTGCTTTGCAGATATTTGCATCTCTTGTGGGAGCCTCAATGTCACCCTGGAGCATCCTCTGTTCATTGGTGGAATGTGCCAGAACTGCAAGGTAGGAGAGCCTGCCTGCCTTTCTGGCTCTTGGGGGCTAGCATCTAGTGTGTGGGGGGGTATGCTGTAGACTCTGGGTAATTCCAGGAACAGAGTCCTGAGTGAAGGGACTCTTGGGCTCTAAGCTCTGGCTTGTTCTTGTTTCTGTCTTCAGAGATCCTCTCAAGCCCCATTTTAGGCCTGAGATATGGGCATGGCGGGGTGGGGGGGACTTAAGTGGCAGTTACTAGTTTGAAGGGGTAGGCAGCAGAGAGGTGGGGTCAAGCAGGCTGACCCAGTGGGTTGCTGTGTCCTTAGGAGCCCTGGGAGGAAAGAAGAGGCCAGGTTCATGGCCTGCCTTGACCCTGGCTGTGCTGGGCCGTACCACGGTGGTCTCTGACCCTCTGCATTGCTTCCTAGAACTGCTTCCTGGAGTGTGCGTACCAGTATGATGATGACGGTTATCAGTCCTATTGCACCATCTGCTGTGGGGGCCGTGAGGTGCTCATGTGTGGGAACAACAACTGCTGTAGGTGAGGCTCCCCACTTCAGACATATGGGGTCCTCCCTCCTTGCCTGGGACCTGAGCTGTCCTGCTGTGCTCCAACAGCCACGCTCTGGACTATGTGTGTCCATTCCAGGTCGCACACTTTGGTCTCCTGGGCTGGGACTGAGAGGCCCCACCTGCTCACTGGGTTTCCTTTCAGGTGTTTTTGTGTGGAGTGCGTGGATCTCTTGGTGGGGCCGGGGGCTGCCCAAGCAGCCATTAAGGAAGACCCCTGGAACTGCTACATGTGCGGGCACAAGGGCACTTATGGGCTGCTGCGGCGGCGAGACGACTGGCCCTCACGGCTTCAGATGTTCTTCGCCAATAACCACGACCAGGAATTTGTGAGTGCTGGACCTAAAATGTAGTCTCAAATCCTCTTAGCTGACCCAGGCAGAGCACTTCAGTGGGTAGCAGGGCCCCTGGACAGTGAGCAGAAGTGGTCAAGCGACGCATAGGGTGTTCAGACCTATAAGACCTAATCAGCTGGGAAGGCCAGCCCAGGGTGGGGGTCTGTGGGATGGTTGTGGGTATAGACCTGACCGCCGAATTCACTGCTTAGGATCCTCCGAAGGTTTACCCACCTGTCCCAGCCGAGAAAAGGAAGCCCATCCGGGTGCTGTCTCTCTTTGATGGAATTGCTACAGGTGAGTGGCATAGGTTCCAAAAGGTGCTGGCTTCTTTGTTCTTTGACAGGAGAGACATCTAAGTGTGTTGACGTTAGAGCTATGAAAATGTTATCCTAGCCGGGCATGGTGCATACCTGTAATCCCAGCGACTCGGGAGGCTAAGGCAGGAGAACTGCGAGTTCAGCAATGGCGAGGCACTAAGCCAACTCAATGAGACCCTGTTGCTAAATAAAATACAAAAAGGGTTGAGTGCCCCTGAGTTCAATCCCCAGTACAAAAGTACAAAAAGAAAAAGAAAGATGATAAAATGTTATCCTACACTAGCCGGTCGCAGTGGCACATACCTGTAAGCCCAGCTGCTGGGAGGCTGAGGCAAGAGAGTCAGCAGTTAAGGCCATCCTGTGCAACTTGGCAAGACCCTGTCTCAAATTTTTGAAAAAAGGGCTGGGGATGTAGCCCAATGCTACCCCATGGTTCAATCCCCGGGACTGCAGGGAGAATTATCCTAAAGAGAAAACTTTGATTTAGCCAAAACTAAAAAGTAAAATAAGACAAACCAACCTGCCCAGTGGTGCTTCCCCTAAGGAAAGAGATCCTGCAGTGGAGTAAGGAGTGACTGCTATAACAAAAGAGTCAATTCCAGCAACTCAAGAGGCTGAGACGGGAGGATCCCAAGTTCAAGGCCAATCTTGGCAACTTAGTGAGACCCTGTCTCAAAATAAAAAATAAAGGGCTGGGGATGTAGCTCAGTGGTAAAAGTGCTCTTGGACTAAATCCCTAATACCAAAACAAAGAAATTAAATAAATAAAACAGGATAAACTAGGTGATTTACAGAAGGCCATTTAAATTACCCATAATTCCTTAACATTTTGGTGTATGTCCTTTTAGAATTGTTTTTTTGTGCATGTGTATGTTTATGTAATCACGCCTTTCTAGTTACATTAAGATTGTCAACGCGTGCTGTTTTGTAGCTTGGCTTGTCATTTCTTATAACTTCTTTTCACGTCAGCTTCCTTTTCATGTCAGCCGATGTAGAGCTATATTCGTTAGTGCTATGTAGGATTTCCTCAAATGAAAGCACTGTAATTTTGACTCAGGAGGCAGAGGTAGGAGTGATTACAAGTTCAAGGCTAGTCTCAGCAACTCATCCAGACCCTGTCTCATACAAGGACTGGGAATGTAGCTCAGTGATAAAATGTCCTTGGGTTCAATCCCCAGTGCAGGGAAAAAAATAAAATTATTGCAGTTTATTAACTAATCCCCATTAGGTTATTTCCTTTTTTTTTTTTTTTTTTTCATTATTATAAGCAGTGCTGTGACAAACTTCCTTATAAATATATTCTTTGTTTGTTTTTTGGTACCAGAGATTGAACCCAGGGGCATTTAGCCACTAAGCCATATCTCCAGTCCTTTTTATTTTTTGAGACAGACTGATTCCTGAGTCTGGCTTTGAACTTGTAATTTCCTGCCTCAATCTTCTGGGTTCTGGGGTGATAGACCTGTACCACTGCGCCCAGCTTCATATATCTTTATACACTTAAGCCATAATCTTCTTAGGAGAAATTCTTAGGGAACGCTGGGTCTTGGTCAGGCGGCATCATCATCATCATCATCATTTTTATGCAGCTCTTGATGCCCACCGAAAACTCTCCTAAAAGGTTGACATATATACAGCCACCCCTACCCTCTCCCCAGGCTGAGGGCCTATCTGTTTCTAAGAATGTAATTGCTGAGCTTGGGATGCAACTCAGTGCTAGAGAGCTTGCTTTGCATGCACAAGGCCCTGGGTCATCCCTTAGAATTTGTGTCTAAATGTGATTGGAGGGTGGTACAGGTGGTATAAGCATGAGGGCCTTGGCCAAAGGGTGAGGTGGGAGTGACATCCCACCCAGATGTTTGTCTTCTGTTCTCAGCTCACTGCTGATATCCTTCAAATATAGAGAAATTCACATGCAATTTGAGTTTCCCAGGCTAGACCCTCGGGATTTTCCAAAATTATGTCACAACCAAGAAGCTATAAAAGCTCCTTGGAGAGACCTGTCGGAAGTAGTAGAAATGGTGTCACCGTCCTCCATTTCTCCTGAAGCTCTTGGGTCTGTTCTTATTGTTTCCTCATCTCAGCATTGAGGGATTGTTGTCAGGAAGTTAGCTCAGGAGGACGTACAGCATGTGAACCCTTTTACTTGGCTCTGACATTTGCAGTCCAAGAGAGGGACTGAATTAGAAAAATACTCTAATGAGATTGAAGGATAGAAAGTGCTAGGGTATTCCAGATGAGGGGCAGGTGATTCCAGGGGACTGTTGATGAGATGGGGCATTAGAGGATTTCCTCAAATGAAAGTACTGTAATTTTGACTCAGGAGGTGGAGTCAAAAAAGCTCTGTAGACCAGGTGGCCTCCTGTTAAGTCTTGAAGGGTGGGATAGAATTTCAGGTGGAGATGATACAGGGGTGAGGAAGGACAAAGATCTAAGTGTAGAAACTATTAGAAGGCCACCAAAAACTAAATGGTTCTCCCAGGATCCCCAAACCAACTACTGTTTGACCACCTTCCTAGTAGGCCAAACTAGGTATAAAATAGAACCACCACGCCCTTGGTTGAGAAAGGATTTCAGACAGGTGCATAGGTAGGGCAGAGATGGGCCTGCAGCTGACTCCTTTTGTCTGGCTGGCACAGGGCTCCTGGTGCTGAAGGACTTGGGCATCCAGGTGGACCGCTACATAGCTTCGGAGGTGTGTGAGGACTCCATCACAGTGGGCATGGTGCGACATCAGGGGAAGATCATGTACGTCGGGGACGTCCGCAGTGTCACACAGAAGCATGTACGTCAGTGCTGCGGGGCACATCCCCTCTTCTCTGCCCTTGCACATTCAGCTCCTGGAGGCAGCCCCCGTCCTCCCTTTTCCTTCTCTTCATCTGCTGTTTCCCTTTCACCCTTCCCCCAGCCTCCTTATCTTCCAGTTTTGTCTTTGACTTGCAAAGGAAATAGGCAAATTGAAAATGGGAACTTGGGGCTGAAGGTGTAGCTCAGTGGTGCACCCCTTGCTGGCATGCAAGAGGCCCTGGCTTCTATCCCTAGCACCAAGCAGGTGTAGGAATGGAATTTGGAAGCTTATATTTTGGGGCTCAGTTGCTCTCTGGGTTGATTTCTTGGCCCTTTATGGTAAAGCACTTCAAATTGAAGAGGAGGGTTCCCATCTTCTGAGTACTTTGGGCAGATAGCTTTACCAGCTTCCACTTCCAGGAGAGCTCAGCAGGATCTTGGTGTAAGATCCTCTGTTCTGCCAGTTTTCTGGGTCTACCTCAGGAATCCTCTGGAGGGCACTTATATGGCACAGACACCCTGCCCAGCTTCCTGGGGCTCCTGCCCACTCAGGGGCTGCTTCACTTGCTTGGCACAGCCTGCTCTGCTTACCCAGAGATCCTCTATGACTGCCGCATCCACAGATTGTTCCTCTGCCTCTGTCCCTGGGCAGCAGACCCATCATGTTGCCTTTGTCTTCCCAGATCCAGGAGTGGGGCCCATTCGATCTGGTGATTGGGGGCAGTCCCTGCAATGATCTCTCAATCGTCAACCCTGCCCGCAAGGGACTCTACGGTAGGTGTTATCCTCACCCCGCTACCTTTTGAGCTGGTGCTTTCGCACTTAGGTTTCCTCGTTAGATATTTCTACCCTGGGACAGCTCCTCCCAATGACCCTGTCTTCCCTTGCCCTCCCCATGCCCAAGCCATACCACTGTCTGATGCAGACAGCTCCAGCTGATGGCTTTCTCTTCCGACCTCTCAGAGGGCACTGGCCGGCTCTTCTTTGAGTTCTACCGCCTCCTGCATGATGCGCGGCCCAAGGAGGGAGATGACCGCCCCTTCTTCTGGCTCTTTGAGAATGTGGTGGCCATGGGCGTTAGTGACAAGAGGGACATCTCGCGATTTCTCGAGGTATAGCCAGCAACCTTGGTTTGGCCAGCTCACTAATGGCTTCTACCTTGGACTGCTGCTTCATCCCTGTCTCATCTGCATTGTGGAGCTGGGGACTGGTGACTTCACTTTGCAAGGGGCCTGTTTGGGAAGCTCTGGGCTTCCCAAGTAGAAAGGGAGGCTCCCCACCCCCACCTTGCGTGAAGGAGTGGGTATGCTTGCTCTAGAAGGTGGTAGCGCGGACATGGACCTCTGGTTGAAGGACCTGTCTCTAAATCTGGTGAGGTAGCAGACTCCTGGGGTTAGGGATTCTGTGTGATGCTAACACTTATGAGACCTTCGAGATGCACATGTAATTTTCTGTGACCGAAATGACTTGTCCTTATTCCCTGGGGTACCATGATGGGTGCTTTATGGCACCTGGGAAAAAAACATGGCTTACTCTTTTATTTCCTATGATGTGAATCCCAGTTAAGCTCTGAGCCAAGCATGAGCCACACACAGGATTTCCATAGCCAGACGCATCTTGTGGTTGGGCTCTCTGGGAGCTTGAGTCCACATTCCCAAATCTTGGGCCAATAACACCTCCAACTGCTGTTGCCACTTTAAATGTGAGCGGGCATCTACTTGGCTTATCAAGTGGACACAGCGAACACATCCATGCTCATTGGAGCTTGCTCTCTTTGCCTCTGGGTGGTCAGGAGCGGCCTTGTCCAATACCTGCCATGGGTGGCCATTTACGTTGACATGAGAATTCTCAGTTCTCCCATCACAGTGGCCTCATTTCAAGTACAAAGTGAACATCTGTAGCTAGTAGACCAGTGGCTACGGCAGTGAATAATGCAGATAGAGGGTAATTCCCATCCTTGCAGAAAGTTCAGGTGGACAATGCCAGCCTGGAATAATCCAGCAAAAGCATATGGACTGTGGCTAGGTTTAATTCCAGCTTTTCCTAGGGGCTTCAGGCTATTCCAGTGTGTGGCCTCCTCAGAGAGTCATAAGAAGCTTTGAGGCCTTAAGGCTCTCAACCAGCAAAATTACCCAGAGCTATTTAATTTTCCTCCTTTGCTCATCTTTAAACTATCTCCTATTTTGTAGTCCAACCCTGTGATGATTGATGCCAAAGAAGTGTCAGCCGCACATAGGGCCCGCTACTTCTGGGGTAACCTTCCCGGTATGAACAGGTTGGTGAGCGCTCCTGGGCCCAGGGGGCTGTGGGAGGGTGTCTGCAAGGTGAGGTTAGTGAGGGTCCTTCCCAGGCCAGCCTTCTCTGCTGAATGCCTGCTGTTCTGCCATGTTCTTTATTCCTTGAGCAAAAAAGGAAATCTGGATATAGAAAATACTTGCCTTGAGAAACTAGCAGCCAGGCATGGTGGTACATACCTGTAATCTCAGTGACTTAGGAGGCTGAGGTGGGAGGGTCACAAGTTCAAGGCCAACCTCAGCAACTAACGAGAAAAGGGTTGGGGGTTGTGGCTCAGTGGTAGAGTGCCCCTTGATTCAATCCCTAGTAACAGACAAATAAACAAAATCTAAAAAGTCCCAGAAAAAAGCCAGCAACCAGTGGTCCAAGACCTTTAAAGGTACATTTTTAATACAAAAAGAGTCCTGTGCTGCAGAGTTCTTGTTGGTTTGCCCTCATCTATGTGTGCAGAGCCAGCTGTCCCTTAGGTCCTGAGGAAAAGCCATGGACGATGGGGTGGACGTGGAGGGGAGAGGGGATCTGGAGCAGCACCCTTCCCGTTTGAGGATTCTGTGTTCCTTGTACTTGGTTGGCTGCAGGCCCCTTATTGGAAGAATTTTCTACTCTTGCTCCCGGATGAGAGGAAATTTCATTTCATTTTTTTTTTTTTTTAAGACAAGAGGCTGAATTTTTTTTAAGAGCAGTGAGCATCCGGGAGCATTTTTATTTTTTAATATTTATTTTTTAGTTTTCGGCGGACATAACATCTTTGTGTGTGGTGCTGAGGATCGAACCCGGGCCGCACGCATGCCAGGCTAGCGCACTACTGCTTGAGCCACATCCCCAGCCCGAAATTTCATTTCTTTAGGTGTCATGGTTGCATTATAGGAAGGCCTTGGAGAAGAAAGGAACTGTTCCAGCGTTTGCAGTTGAAAAGCAAAACCATGACCACCTGCTCTCAAGGCCCAGTCTAGGGGGATATGTTGTCCAGAATGTTTGAGTCAGGGATTTTAAATCTATAAATAAAAAATATCATTTAGCTTGGCTTTAGTCATCTAAGGACCATTCTTGTGAAGTTGTAGGGCCTTTCCTATTTCATACCAGTTTTGCAAAGCTGCTATCTTTTGCAAGGGTTTGCTGAGGAGGAGATGGGTGAGGAGGCAGCTTACCTGAAACTGCCCCTGCAGGGCCCCCAAGATATGTGTGTGTGTTGGAAAAGTGTGGATTTAAATGGTCCAGTGTTTCTCTGTCTCTCTCTGTTTTTTTCCCACCTTGTCCTGAAGATTGAACCCAGGGGTACTCCACCACTGAGCCACCTCCAGCCCTTTTTATATTTTTATTTTGAGATGGGATCTTGCTAAATTGCCAAGCCTGTCCCAGAATTTGTGATCCCTCTGCCTTGAGCTCCTGATATCCCTGGGATTACAGGTGTGTGACCCCACACCCGGCTTCTGGTCCATTGTTTCTCTAGAACCATCTCCTAGCTGACCTTAGTTCTATGGGATTATTTGTACCTGTTTCTTCCAACTATAAAATACAGAACTCTTGAGGTGTTCTGGAAGGAGCAAAGGCATCATGGATGGTACATCCCTAACAGAGGCATCTGGTTTGACCTCAAGCCCCCTGTTTCTCTACTTAGATTCTGTAGTACTCTGGGAAACCTTCGTGAAATACTCAGAAAATAATCAGAAAAGGACAGCACTAAAGGTGATCTTTAGTCATCAACCTACCTGCTGAGAAGTGACATATTATTCAGTGTCAGAGTATTTTAGTTTTTCAAGGCCTGTGTAGAACCTGAAGTCTTTGGTGCATACCTGTAATCTCAGAAACTAGAGTCCTAGGCTGAGGCAGGAGGATCACAGGTATGAAGCCAGACCTGGCAATTTAGCAAGACCCTATCTCAAATTGAAAAAATAAGAAAGATAAAATGGTTGGGTGCAGCAGCGCATACCCTTGATATGATCCCAGTGACTCAGAAGGTGGAGGCAGGGGCATTATAAGTTCAATGCTAACCTCAGCAATTTAACAAGACCCTCATCAACTTAGTGAGATAAATAAAACAGGCTGGGTGCAGTGGCACATACCTATAATCCCAGAGACTTGGCAGACTGAGGCAGGAGGATCTCAAGTTTGAGGTCACTCTGAGCAGTTAACAAGACTAGACCTGGGAATGTGGCTCACTGGTAGGTAGAGTGCCCCTGGGTTCTACTCCTAGAACTGCAATAAATAATAATGAAAAAAATTAATTAGTTAAAACAGGACCAGAGACATAGCTCAATGGTAAAGTACCACTGGGATCAATTTCCAATACAAAAAAATAAACAAATAGGGTGTAGGCTTGTGGCCCAGTGGTAGAGCACAAGACCCTGGGTTCAATCCCCAGTGCCAGAAAAGGGGAGTAAGGGCAGGAGATGTGGTTCAGTGGTAGAGCGCTTGCCTGGCATGGATGAAGCTCTGGGTCAGATACCCAGGACCACAAATAATAACAATAATTAATCTTTTACTGTACATTAAAGCGTACAGTCCAATGGATTTCATCTTATGTCCACACCCCATATAATCATCACCTCAAGTAAGATCAGAATATTCTGTCATCCCCAAAACCTGTGGTAGAATTCTGAAAACTTGGCATATTTTAAAATAACCGATTAAAAAAGAAGAAAGGTGCTGCTGGGCATGGTGGCGCATGCCTGTCATCTCTCAGCTTGGAAGGTTGAGGCAGGAGGATCATGAGTTCAAAGCCAGCTTCAGCAAAAGTGAAGCCCTAAGCTACTCACTGAGACCCTAAATAAAATACAAAATAGAGCTGGGGATGTGGCTCAGTGGCCTAGTGCCCCTGAGTTCAATCCCCCTTTTGGCTAGGTATTATCTGTCTACTGTAAATTTGAGACCACTTTTGAATTTGCCTGTTGGATGAAGGCTCAGTTGATTTGTGTATGTGGATGGCCATTGTGTGTGTGTGGGGGGTGGTTGGGAAATTTGAAGAGGGTTACAGTGTGTGTGCACACATGATGAGGATGTGGGCTTTTTATCTGCCTTTTAGTCAGTTGCTGCTGGGGGTTAGCAGCTTACTGGGGACCTTCCTGCTATTCTCCAGGTCTCTGATGTCACATGCTCTCTTCTGCCCCCTAGGCCATTGGCATCCACTGTGAATGATAAGCTGGAGCTGCAGGAGTGTCTGGAACATGGCAGAATAGCCAAGGTCAGCCCCCACCCAGGCCCTCCACTGTGCTCCAGGGAGAGGGGCAGGGGGCAGGGGTGGGTGGGACAGTGACAGGGCTGTCTCCTTTCCTCTGCCTGCCCCTCAGAGCACAGCCAGTGTGGAGAACGCAGTTTAGGAGATGGTGCAGGGTCACATAGCCTGTCAGCTGGGGACAGCCCAAAGCTACTGACCTTTAGCCCTTCATCCCTAGAGAGTACCTCCCACCTTCTCTTGGGAGTGACACACTAAGGATCTTTACAAGATTCTGGGACCTGCTGTGTTCTTTTAAAAAATTGTATTTAGTTGAAACCTACTACAAGAGCCTTCACAGCAGAGGGGTACGTCGTATAATGTGGATTTCTCTGGGAAATCTTGTGTGTGTGGGTGAAGTTCCAGTGCCAGCAGCTTCCAACACTTAGGACTGTTGACACCCAGAGCCCAACTTTGGTCATGTGGGTCATATGATATGCTTTTGACTGTAAATTACTATATCTCTAAAGAATCCATTCTTTGGAGGATTTAGAGAGTACAGTGGCCAGAGCTGTTGCCTCTTAAGTCTGACTAGCTAGATTGGATCCAGGGTGGCCAGGTGACATCAAGGTGGGAAGAGAAGAAGGGCCATGGGGATGGGGAGGTTCTTCCCTGCAAACCTAGGTCCTCCAGAGCCAGCCAGGACCCAGGCTCGCCTTCCTCTCTAGTGTTTGGTGCGGGGGATGTGTGCTTATTCCTCTTTTTTCTCCATCTTCTAGTTCAGCAAAGTGAGGACCATTACTACTAGGTCAAACTCCATAAAACAGGGCAAAGACCAGCATTTCCCCGTCTTCATGAATGAGAAAGAGGACATCCTATGGTGCACTGAAATGGAAAGGTACTGTGTTGGCCTTTGAGTGAGGCATCCTGACTGCTGTGCTTGAGGGAAGGGTCTTCACTTTTCCTACCAGGCTAGTGTTTTCCCACAGATTCAGTGTGAGGGAGGGCCTTGCTGGGCATTTCCAATATAGCAGGACCCTGGGGAGGGAATGACTGGCTGGTCACAACTCAGGAGGGGTCTAGGAATCAGCTCCTAATGCCTGAGAGAGAGAGCCTGCTGCACCCTCCAGAAATGCTGCAACCCTGGAGGCTTCCTTAACTTATACTGTGGGTAAATCAGCACAGCATCTGGGACCTTGTGGGCTGCACAGCCTCTATACCCTGGTTGGGTGAAAACTGGGATTGAGGCAAGGGGCTGAATCAGTTCCTCATTCTCTGGGTATAACTAGAATTTAGCCAGGCAGAGAGAACATTTTCACAAACAGGAAATCCTTGAACTTGTGAAGTCGGGCAGGAGTTCAGCTCCTTTTGGAACTCCTGTCTCTTTCAGGGGAGAATCAAGAAGTGGAGTGTGTTACATTCAGACTTGTGCTGTGTCCACCCTGTACCTAGATCTCATGTGCAGGGGAACTACATAGTGTGTCTAGGAGGCATTTTGGGGGTGCTCTTTGAAAGACTTGTTTTTGGGGGGGTGGTCTGGGGATGGAAGCCAGGGCTTTGCACGTGCCAGGCCAGTGTTCTACTGCTGAGCCACACCCCTGGCACCCTGGCTTTGTTTCTGCTGTGTAAAGCTCACAGCAGGGACGACAGTAACTACTTGACTAGCACAGTGCGAGGCACACAGTTGATGACCCATCCAAATGTTGGAATTGGTTACAGAGAACAAAGGAGTCAGCAGAACAGGCATCATCATGAGTGTTTGGGTGACACATCGACCCCTCCCATGTGTTGTGGACAGCTTCTGGTCATGTGCTCCTGGCATGTGGTCAGATGGCTTGGGGGCAGCTTGATCTTGCCCCTGCTCACCCTGCCTTGTCTGCCTCCTCTTCCCCAGGGTTTTTGGCTTCCCTGTCCACTATACTGACGTCTCCAACATGAGCCGCTTGGCGAGGCAGAGACTGCTGGGCCGGTCGTGGAGCGTGCCAGTCATCCGCCACCTCTTCGCTCCACTGAAGGAATATTTTGCTTGTGTGTAAGGGACATGGGGGCAAACTGAGGTAGTGACACAAAGTTAAACAAACAAACAAAAAAAACACAAAACACAATAAAACACCAAGAACGTGAGGATGGAGAGAAGTATCAGCACCCAGAAGAGAAAAAGGAATTTAAAACAAACCACAGAGGCGGAAATACCGGAGGGCTTTGCCTTGCGAAAAGGGTTGGACATCATCTCCTGATTTTTCAATGTTAATCTTCAGTCCTATTTAAAAAAAGAAAACACAAAAACCAACCAAGTCCCCTCCCCTCCCCCTTCTTTTTTTTTTTTTTTTTTTGTAAAACCTTTTGTTTTCTACTCTTTCCAGAGGGGTTTTGTTTGTTTGGGTTTTTGTTTCTTGCTGTGACTGAAACAAGAGGGTTATTACAGCAAAAATCAGTGACAAAAAAAATAGTAACAATACCTTGCAGAGGAAAGGTGGAAGAGAGGGGAAAAAGGAAATAGAAATCTATATATTGGGTATATATATATTTTTTAAATCTTTTTCTTTTTGTTGTCTCTAGCCTGGTCAGATAGGAGCACAAGCGGGGACAGAAAAGAGACACTCAGGTGGCAGAATTCTCTCCCAGCCCCTGAGCTGTCTTACCAGCACCATTCCTGGTCATGCAGACAGAACCCAGCTAGCAGCAGGGAGACCGAACACCACATAAGATACTTTTCTACAGTATTTCAGGTGCCTACACACAGGAAACCTTGAAGAATACCAGTTTCTAGAAGCCGCTGTTACCTCTTGTTTACAGTTTATATATATATGATAGATATGAGATATATATATAAAAGGTACTGTTAACTACTGTACAACCTGACTTCATAATGGTGCTTTAAAACAGCGAGATGAGTAAAAACATCAGCTTCCACCTGGCCTTATGTGCAAAGGGTTTTAAACAAGGATGGAGAAAGGGATTCAGCTCGAAGATGGCGCTTTGTCTGGTGGGGTTTCCCCTTGATTTTAACAAGATGAAGGAGGAGAACTGGTGTGTCGTTCTCCCACTTCTCCCTGCCAAAATGGGGGTCAGCTTAGGTGGTTGGGATCCTGGGGGGCTGAGCATGGAGTCCATCCAGACTCAGGCAATAACTTGAATTTTTTCTAAAAAGAGACTCCCTTAGCAAGATGGCAGGGTAAGGAGTCTTCCTTCCTGATTGCTCATGTTAGTGGAGTTGAGGGCTCCTTGTGGGATCAGAAATAGTCCAGAGTGTGGGAAATTGACAGTTAAAAACCCCACCTGGAGCAAATAAAAAAACATACAAAACGTACTGGTGCTTTCCTGTCTAAGTCGCCTTTTGTGTGTTCTTTTATGAGGCCCTCACCATCCTCCCCTCTGTGCACAAGGCGGCTCTGGGCCCCTGGAATGTGATGTTTTTGGTCATCTCCAAAGGCTGCAGTTTTATACTGGGAGGCTGATGACACCTTTTATTATAATTATTCTTATGGTTCTGGTTATAATTATGTTGTTTTAAGATTTTCTTTAAGAAAACAAAACCCAACACCCTTTAGGTTTCAAACCAAGGTGCGGGAGCAGGGTGCTTCTAAGTTAGCGGTGGCTCTGGTGCCCTGGCTCCCTTCCCCCTGGGCCAGGTGGGCCACTGGGCAGTGCGGTGACAAGCTGGACGGCCAGGGAGTCCCCCAGGCCTGCCCTCCGGGCTGGTCGCTCTTGCTCTTCTCTTCTACTTCCCCTCCTCTGAGTCAGGTGTGTCAGGGCCGGGGGAGGCCTGCGGTCTCTCTCCTGTGTGTGTGCTTGGAGTGGTGTGCGTTTCTTTTCTAGTGTTTGGTCTGATGATAGCTGTGCTCTTGCCTCAAGTCAGCAGCGCCTGGGGCCCCACGTGCTCGCACTTTGTTCTGCTTCCTAGGGGCAGCTGGCCTGGCCTGGCCTGGCGTTGGCGGTGGGAAGGGATGGCGTTGCTGGCTCCAGGGTGAGGGCCCAACGGGCAGAGCTTGCCTGGATGGATGGGGTGTAGATATGTGGCATATAGAGATATATATTTTATAATGGGAGGGGGGGCGGCACCTCCTGGGACCGGCAGAGCTGGGAGGTGTGCCGTCAAGCACATGGTCCCAAGTCCGCATCCCTAGAAAAGATGGGGCCTATGGTGATAGGCGCTATATAAATACATAGATAGGGTCATGTATAAGAAATATTATGTAGTGGGGAGTGGGGGGAAACGGGCTCGGTGTGCTGAGCCCGGGTCCCTACTGCAGGCATAAACCCCACACCAATCAGTCTCACATGCACAGGAACCTACTTCTATTTGGATGCATAGCGAGTCACTCACCAGGGAGCTCCCATTACTTCTCCCCAGGATTCAGGACTTTGTGGAGTCAGCCCGAGCAGCTCTTTACCTCTGTTGCCCTGATTGCAGGTAGACTGTCGATCCCAGAAGTTGCTAGGTGCTGAAGGTAGGAAGAGGAGGTGGTTTGATCCGGAGAAGGTGCTTCCTCTAGCAGGTCGTGTTCTATCCATTTTGCCCCTGGTGATGTCAAAGATTCTTCTGTTAGCAACCTGTGATACTGACCTGCAACTCTAGGCACCAGTCAAGTCAGCCCTCTACTCCCCCTACCTATTCTCCCCAAACAAAATCAAATTGACATCCCTGTCTGTCTTGGCCACAGGGCTTCCATTGGGAAAAAAGTAATAATGATGGGACAGTGAACTTCGCCTTTTCAATAAAGCAAATTAGTAATTAGTGACAAAACTACACCAAGGCTTTGAACCCCTTGCTCATTGCTCAGGAGTAAAGCTCACAGCTGTGGCCACTCGCTCCTTGTTGGGGCAGGTAGTCCTGGCCCCAGTCTACTCAGTTCCTTGGTAGATGGATTTCATAAGATCACACCCAGTTGCTCCCTGCCACTTCCCTGACATGGCAGGTGGTGACTGGAGCAGCTAGGAGAGGGGGAGGCCTGCCCCTGCCCCAGCAGAGTCCCTCCTTGCTTCTGCAGGGCTCCCTCCTGACCTGGAGTCTACCAGCACTGCTCCAGAGGGCTGAGGGGAGGAGGGCTGCCTCAAGCAGTCCAAGGTGCTCCCTCCCCTGCTGGCCAACACCAAGGTCTTCCCAGATCTGCATCAGGACAGTCTCGGAGGGCTTTCCCCTTCCAACACTGCTGGCTCTCCTGAGCCTCTGTCCACTGCTTATGTGAAGGAGTCAGCCTTTCCCAGTGGCCCCAGCTCCACCCTAGCTGGGGCTGGTGCTCCCCCAAAGGTTGGCATGGGGACTCAGGAAGAACCTGTGAATGTGGCAAGAGCCAGGGGCCAGCACATGCTGGCCAGCTTGTTCTGAGAGAGTGCTGGGCACATTGGCCTGTGGCTGACTACTTAGCACCTGTTTCTCCCACTCTAGTAACCTGCCAAGGCCCCCAAAATGGACATGGTGCCCCCATACAGGGACAGGAGTTAATCACCAGCTTTTCTTCCAGCTCTTCCTGTGGGCTTGGTCTTACAGTAGAATTTGGTAGGGTGAAGGGAACTTGGGGAATGTGCCAACTTGGTCCAAGTGGTGTTCCCTTCATCCACCTCCATCCCTGTGGGGGACTTCTGAGGACAGGTATTTGGTACCTTCCAAAGGGGCCTCAGCCGAGTGGGCCATGGGAGGGTTAGGGGTGGGGAGTGTTGAGCTTGCTGTAGAAGAAGCCAAGGGCGGGGGCAGTGGATCTGGAGAAACCAGAAGGGCCTGGGGATAATCCCCAAGGGTGTTCCCTATGGGATTTCCTTTCCAAAGAGCAGGCCCATCTTCTTGAAACCAGGGTGCTAGGAGCCCAGGTGACAGCCTCCCTCCTGAGGGTGCCAAGTGGAGCATGGTGCCAAAGAGATCCATGGCCCTTGCGTGGGGGAGGCAGCTGGGTGCTAGTGCCAGGGTCACAAGCCTTGGCCTCCCGCCTAAGGAGGCACTCAATCCCAGCAGATGGCTGCGAGCCTAAGGGCCTCAGGCTGGCTGGTGCTAACCCCTTTCCTGTGGGACCGACTGGAACAGTGGGCTAGTGGGGAGCCCGCAGGTGAGGATCAGAGGGCTCTTGAAGTCTGCTCTCTGGCCTCAGAGCTTCCTTGCTGTTTGACATCCTATCAGAAAAAAACTTCCCCAAAAAACATCCAGGACCTCTTAGCCTTTGAAAGGCCTGGGCATGGTTGGCAGGTGGAGATGAAGGTTTTGGTGAGTGGCTGGGGTGTGGTCGGGAAAGGCAGACCCCAGCAGGAAGGCAGGCTGATGCTGAAAGTCTCTAACTAGTCAGCTGGCTCCCCTCACCTGCTTGCTGGCCCCAGGCCACAGCTGCTCTGGGGGAGCCTCTGAGTGTTGCCATCTCTAGCACAGGGAAGTCCATAGGAGGAGCAAGGGAGTGTGGTTCAGCTGAGCCTGCTTGGAGACGTGCTAACAGGAAAACTGCAATCATTAGTGTTCATATTTTTTATGATGTAAGTCTATATCAGTAGGTCTTGAATTCCTCTTGCTGTTCTGCGTGGCGCAGAGTTGCTGTGACTAGTGTCTTTGGAGCTGTCATTTCATAGGAGCCCTGTGAGCTGTAGGCTGGGCCTGTGGGGCTTGCCTGGCGCCTCTCGTGAGGAGGCTGCTGCTGCTGCTTGCTCTGGTCAGGGGAACCCGAGAGATGTGATTCTGGAGACTGTTTCCAGGCAGGGCCACAGCTTGATCCTGGGAAGGTAACAATCTGCATTCATCTTTTTCTAGTCTGCGTGCTCCCAGTGCTTGTGACTAGAATATGATACCGAGTTGTCCCTCTTGGCAGGGAGCCGCTGTGCCTCCCACTCCCCCCAGCACGGGGAAGGGGTTACCGAGGGATGGCTGGAGTTGGAGTGGCCCTCTGGGGTTAACTACAGGTGGCCAGGCCTTGTGCTGGGGTCAGGAGGACTGGAGAGGAAAGGACATAGATGAACCCTATTGTTCTAGTGTAAGCTCTTGGATCTTTACGTTTTGGTAAAGAAGGGCTGGGGTCTTTGAGAAGTGAGGATCTCGCACCTTTGGGTTTCAGAGACCCGGCTAAGGTGGGCCTTTGGTTGGGGACCTGTCTCCAACTCTAGGCAGTGGAGTTTGGGCAGTGCGAGAAGCAAGCAGGTCAGAGTAGGGAGGGGAAGGAGGGAGGCCTTGCTGGGGGGACTCCCCCCTAACTTCCCAGAGGCCCCCTGGGCGTCTGCAACTCCAGCAACTGGAAAGCTCCAGGGATCTGCTCCCTTGAGGGCGCAGAGGGGGACTCCCCAGACACCCGGCTCCAGCCTGTGCCTGAGGACGTGAGCAGCGGTCTAAAGCGTCACTGTAGTCCCATTCACTAACAGACCGATTTGGTTGCACAGCCCTAGAATCCAACAGACGACAAAAATGCCGAAATTCCTTAGAATACGCAGAGGGAGGAGGTGACTCAACAAGGTGCTAAAACATTTTATTAAAAATATATATTGTTAAATTAAGTCTGCTGTCTGGACAATGACTGTTTGTTTTGTTTTCTTGTAGTGGAGTTTAAAAGAGACTATTATTTTACTCTGATATATTATTATTAAAAAGGCATTTTAACTTTGTACTTGAAAACTAAGTGAGCGATTTCACGTGTTTTAGCTGAGGCATTGAAGTAGCGGGTGCTTACTTATTTGTGGGAAATCATGTATTCATACTGAAGAATAAACTCCGTAGCTGATTTGGTAATAACTTTTACTGTTACAGACGATTGCGCTTTGACCCCGGTGGCAGAGCACTTCTACTCCACATTCCACGCAGCTAAATGCAGGACTTTCCAGATTCTTCCCTCCCTGGCCCTCCTTCCTTTCTCTTAAGTTCCTCTCTTTTCCTTTGTTTTGTTTTTGTTTTTCCTGGTTCCAGCATCCTTTTCACCACTGTATTTTTTTTAGGGTTGCTTCTCTATTTATTGACAATAATAATGTACATTTCACAGTCTGGTTCTGGGACAGCTGGGAGGGGCGCGGGGGGGTTCCGCAGGGCCCCGCCGCCCGCCCGGCGTTCTGTTGTATCTCTGTGTACGTGATTGCTCGTGACATAGCTGTTTATGAAATAATTAAAGAGGTCAATGCGTACAGCAGATGTAGAAAGTCTGTCAGTTCCGCCTTCATCACATTTTTTTTGTGCCCAGAAGAATATAATAAAGCTCCTTTCTAATGTACTTGTGCTGGAGAACACTTGAATAAATGGACTGTTTTTGTGCAAAAAGAAAAACGGAAAAAGCACCGATAATGTCCTTTTGTCTTGCGTCTCCTTTTCCCTGACGTGGCTGTTCACAGCCCTTCTCCAGAGGGCTTAAGTACCTCAGTGGGAGGTGCCACATTGGGTCCAGACAACTCTTTAAATCACCCCCTGCCTGGGTGTCACAGAGGCCCGGGCCCCATGTGGCAGAGGCCTATGGATCTGAAGCTCAGAGATAACTAGAGGGAGAGGGTGGAGCAATCGGTGTTGGAAGACCAGAGCAGAGAGGGGACAGTGTCTTGCTCAGATGGCGGTGGGGGAGGACCCCTGGTCACCAGCAGCAGTGCCCTCTAAACAGGGTTTTGTCAACAAACCAGAGTCCAGAGGGGAGTAGCCAGGGAGCTAGACAGTCTGGATTGGGGAGGATTCCTGGAGGAACCCAGCCATTTGTCTTAGGAGCCAGCATTGGGAGGACATATTTGCAGACACCCGCAGGGCTGGGCCACACTGCTGGTGGCCAGTGTGAGTTCAGCGTAAGGCAGACCTCGGTCCCCCGGGCCCACAGTGCAGGAGGTGCCTTGGGTGCAGAGGAGCCCTGGCTAGGGAGAGGAACTGGGTGGCCCTCTGAGGGGTTGCTGGTCTCCCTTCAGACCCATGTCTGGGTTCCCCTGCTGCCTGGCCCTCAGAACCGACTTGCAAGTGGCCAGTGCTGTGTGGCCTGCAGAGCCCCTTGTGACTCTGCTTCAGTCTCTAGGCCCCTACCCTAGCCGTCTAAAGTGACAGTCTGAATACTGTAAGGACTGGGACTGTTCCCTCACACTCAGCCCCAGGACCTCGGCCACTCTGTGCTGGGCTTTGTCTCCCAAGTGCCCGGTGGGCCCAGCCATGGTTGGGCTCCTGAGGAGGGCAGCTTGAGGTTCTTTCTTCACCAGACTCGTGGGAGGTTCAGGACGGCAGCGCTCTCCTGGCAGCAAACACGTCATTAGGGGAAAGTTTGACAAAAGAGGGGACCCTGACCAGACTAACTGGCTTTGTCATGGGCACCTTTTCTCTCCGTTTTTTCCTTACAAAGTTGTAAGTGTACATTTAACTTTTATCCTACTTTTTTCTTAATATCTTTCAATGTTGATGTAGAACTTTTTTTTTGTTTTTGTTTTTTCAAATGGCTGCATGGTGTTTTCTTGTTGAGTGTTTGTTTCTATATAAATATATATATATATATATAATTTTATTTTAGCTATAAATAGAGCTTCAATAAACGTCTTTATGTTTTGGCTTTCCCCCCTATATTTTGTATTTTTTTTCTTTTAAAATGGATTCCCAGAAATGAGACTAAATGGAGAAAAATAGATGGATATTTTGATTGGTTCCTGACATTTACTTGATTTCTTCCAAGAGGCTAGCAGACAGGCAGTATAGCTTCAGCTCTGAGGGTCTCCATTCGGAAATAAACCTGGTCTTTAGTTTCACCAATTCAGAAATGTATTGTCTTAGTCTGTTTTCTGTTGCTGCAATAGAATACCTGAGGGTGGGTAATTTATAAAGGAAAGAAATTTAGTTAGCTCATGGTTCTGGAGGCTGGAAGTCCAAGATCAGCGGCCACATCTGGTGAGGCCCTCATGTTGTCATAGTCCACATACAGAAGAGACAGAACAGGAGGGGCCAGACTCCATGACAGTGAACTCAATCCCACCAGAAAGGCTTAACTCCCTCTGAATGACCTAATCATCTCTTGAAGGCCCTGTCTCCAGCACGGCTACATAGCAATGAATGTCAACTTGAGTTTCAGAGGAGAGGAACCTAGTCAACCCAAGCATATTAATGCCATGGGGGAAGTGAAGACTCAAGACTTTTTAAACTAGAAATTAGGGAAACACAAGAAGAAGAAGCAACACAATTTAGTCACTGGATTTTGAAATCAGCTTACCTGGAGGAATCCTGGGGACAGAACTCAGATTGGATCTCTGAGATTAGTTCCAAGACTAAGGAGAGATGGGAGGGTGGAAAGAGGTGGGGTTTGCCATGTATCTGAGCCAGGGGTGGGAGAAGTTTCGGCGGGTGAGCAGCTGGGCCATTTGCTTAGTAAAAACCGTCTGGTGAAGCTTGTTTAAACAAGGCGTCACTTGATGGCCAAGGGGTGGGGAGGACACGGTAAGGGTCAGCGCTGGCAAGAGTCAAGGTAGTCATGAAGGTCCACAGAGACTGCCTAGGTGGGTACCCCCCACTGCCCCAGCACTCTGTTTAGGTATGGCAGGGACCATGGCAGGGATCCCGCACACCCAGGCCTGGCTTAGGGTTCAGTAAGGCTGCCTGGGGGTCTAGTGGAACAGAAGTAGGAGGGTCACCAAGGGCTGCCTGGGAGCCAGCTGGGTTGTGAGGCCAAACCCGCAAAGAGCAGGGTAGAGGAGCCCAGCATGGGCAGGGGGTATAACTGCAGGGTGATGACAGGGGGCAGGGGGTGCTGTTAGATGAACAGCTGCTGTGTTGCAGGTGAGGACACAGGAAAGTACCTCTAAGGGGGACAGGAGTCCTAGTGTACCCACAATGCTCCCTTATCTCCTTGGCTCCAATGAACTTGGAAAGGATGCAGCCCAGACTGGGAATGTAGCTTAGGGCAGAGCACTTGACCCGTATGGTCCAGGTCCTGAGTGAGGTCCCAAGCACCACCAAAAAAAAAGATGCAGCCCTTCCCCTGGTGACATTCTCCCTCCTGTTGGTTTGGGGGTGGGTTAAGTGGGGAGGTCTCCGAGGAATGGCAACTAAAATAGTAGCTTATAGAGACTTGAACTTCAGAGACCAACCTGGCCAGCCCCTAAATATTTAACCCCAGGGCCCAGGTGCCTGCATTACGTCTTGCCTAGAAGACAGACCTCACATTTAGACCCCCACCCTACCCCGTCTGAACCCTGTGACCCTGGGCCTCAGTCCTCTCAGAGGAAACTTGAGTTTTGTCTTCTTTCCCAAAGTATTTAGCCTGTGGTGGCTGTAACCCAGGATCTGGGGACGAGGTAGCACTGGAGCCTGTCTCCCTCAACCAAGGGCTCTGGTCCATTCTGGCAAACGTGGGTCAAGAGAGGGACTCGGAGCCTCCAGAGAAGCTTTGGCCCTGCTGGAATCACCTGCATGTGCCGCCCTCCCCATCACCTATGAAAAGGGTGGCAGAGCGAAACACCCAGAAAGGCCACCACTTGCCTGGCACAGCAACAGGCCAGCTCTGGTCCCCCAGGCCCTTATCTCCCTGTGCCTCCCCCTCCAAGCCCACCCGCCTGCTGTCTCCCCAGCTCTCTGCTCAGCTCAGCTCAGCTCTCCCTCCCTGGCTGCTTCTCAGGCGGCGGCTCCCTCTGTCTAATGCCATCATTTCTCTCCCGGGAGCACACCAGCATGCCTTCATGCACGTGCACATGCACATGCACGCGGAGCACTGCCCTCTCCAGGCGCTGCCTAGTTCTCTGTTCCGCTTTTCAGCAAAACCTGACAGCACTCTGTTGATGGCACTGAGGTCCTCCCCTCTGGGTGCCTTCCCCAGGCCCTGGGCCTGCACCTCTGCTCTCACCTGACTGCTCAGGCGCTGGGCCCTGCGCGACTTTCACCTCCCTGAAACCCCTGCTTCCTTGGGCTTTCTACCCCATGGTTCTTCTGTTCTCTAATGTGGGAGGGCTTTCAGGCCTGTCTTCCCCTGCCCTCCTCTGGAGGCCCTGGCTCACGAAACCCAAGGCCTGGGTGGCCTCTCGGCTCCCATGTTGGGTGGGCATCTCAAATGTGAACTGTCAAAACGGAAACGCTGGGTTCCTTCCCAACTTGCTCCCAGCCTTCGGTTCTTTTAGCAGCTTGTACTTAACTGGTATCAGGACCTTGGGTCTCATCCTTGATCCCCTCTTAATATCACAACCTACAACTGGTCTCTGTCCCCATCCTCCCACAACAGGTCTCCTTCCTTCTTTTCCCATCCTTTCCAATCTGTTCAACACACACAATAATTTCATTAAAACCAAACCCTAGGGGCTGGGGTTGGGGCTCAGTGGTAGAGCGCTTGCCTAGCATGTGGGAGTCACTGGGTTCGATTCTCAGCACCACATATAAATAAATGAAATAAAGGTCCATTGACAGCTAAAAAATATTAATAAAAATAAAAAACAAAAAAACCCAAAACCCTCTGTTTGTTTCTTTGTTTTAGCTGAGTTGAGGCTAGAACCCAGGGCCTTGCACATGCAGGGCAAGTACACACTCAGCCTGAATCAAACCTTTTTTGAAAAACCCTTTAGTTGTGTGCTATGGCAACAAGCGGAAGCCCTCCCACCTTGTCCTATGAAGCCCACTGTCCTCAACAACATTCCAGCCACGTGGGCCTTCTTTCCTGTGAGCAGATCAAATTCTGCCATTGCAGGGCTTTTGTGCACATGCTGGGCTCTCTGCCTGGAGGCCTTGCTCATCGCCTGGCTCTCCCTGGCTTGCCTCCTATCATCTAGTCTCAGCTCAGAGAGGTGCACTCTGTGTGTGTGTGTGTGTGTGTGTGTGTGTGTGTGAGTTATTGGGGGATTGAACCCACTGGCTCTATCACTGAGCTACATTCCCAACCCCTCTTTCTTTTTTTAATTGAGCACAGGGGTGGTGTACCACTGAGCCATCTCCCCAGCCCCTTTTGAGACAGTCTTGCTAAGTTGCTTAAGACCTCACTAAGTTGCTGAAGCTGGCCTCGAGCTTGCAATCCTCCTGCCTCAGCCCCCCCCCCCCCCCTGCCCAAGTCTCTGGGATTACAGGTGTGTACCATTGCATTTAGGTCTTTTTTATTTTGAAACAGGGTCTAAGTGCCTGAGGCTGATTTGGAACTTGTGATCCTCCTGTCTCAGCCTCGAAGTTGCTGGGATTACAGGTAAGCGCCACTGCGCCCAGCATGAAGGGTACTCCTTGGCTACTCCACATACTCTATGGCCACTGCTCTCTAGTCTATTTATTATTTTCATAACTGCCAACCTCAGAGAT